CTATCTATCTATCTATCTATCTATCTATCTATCTATCTATCTATCTATCTGGTCATAGTGGTAGGGGTCTAACATGAAGCTGAAAACTGTTCATTTCATTTCATTTTACTTTATTATTTTCATTTGTAACACAAATTAACAAAGTACAAAAAATATGCAATCACAATAAAATCAAATAAATTGAAAGGCAGCAGAAGAAGAAATCTTATATCTGCCCCTTTTTTATACCTAAAATATGTTAAAAAGAAAAGTAAATTACAACAAAAATCAAAACAACCTAAAACACTTAAAAATGAATTAAAAAAAATTAAACACCAACTCAAACAACAATTAGCTTGAATTAACTTATACTTCTCCATATTTATTCAGAAATATAGTTTTTATCATTCTCTTCATACAAGGATCTGGGGTCGGTTTTATAAAACTGGCGTACGCACAGTTTGAGCCAAACGTGCGTACGCCACTTTTCACACCAAGGTTGTGATTTATAAAATCCAAACATGAAGTGAAAATGTGCGGTCCCTCACGCCAGCTCTGACCCATGCGTACGCTCATTTTGGAGACGGGAAACTGCGACACAGATCAGAAAGAAAAAAAATTGTGTAGGTCTTCTGGACGGGTTCTTCTCTAATGAAACGTTTTGTCTCTCCTCCAAGAGACTTCTTCAGTCTGAGAGTTTCAGGCAAAATTCAGGCTTTTAAGCCCTGCCTCCATGTGACTGATACATCACATGGCTATCTTACAATACTTACACATTTTTTTCTTTTTCATTTTTTACCTGGATTACTGAGATGCATTGCGACACAGATGGTGAAGTGAGGAATTAGAGCCACACTGTGTAATGATCACTGTCAGATATTTAATTTACCTTCAGAATCAGACTTAGATTTTTATTCAACTTTATCATCAGCTTTCTTAACAGTAATATTTATGCTTCTGCTGCTGAGCCGTGAGGACCTTCGAAATAATAATAAAAAACTTAAATCTTAAATAAAAGTTTGCATGCGCAACTCCATTCATCTGCTTCCTCCTCACGACCCTGACCCCCACAGACCCCTCCCTGACCCACAGACCCCTCCCTGACCCACAGACCCCTCCCCGATAAGAACAACAGGACAGCAAAAGCGATACACGCACAGGGCGCATCCACCTCACCAGTGTGGATGTTATAAAACTTGTCCGTGTTTGTCGCGAGGGGGATGCGTGCATGCGTGCGCGTGCGGGGGTGTCTTCCGCGGATAACAGAGCAGGCAGGAGGGGGAGGGGATGAGGAGAAGAGCGGGGGACTTATTTCTAATTTTATCTGACTTATTTAATTTAATTTTTATTGTTTTTATCATCCTGCAGGCTCTGATGGGAAATTAATTTGAAGCTGAGTTTTTTATTTTTATTTTTTTTTATAAAAATTGTTAGATTACGCTAAAGCAAAATGAGGGAAATCTGTGTCAGTTACAGACATTCTGTTCACGTGAGCAGCTGTCAGTCAGCACCTGTCATCCTCCAGACTCACGACGGAGCGTGTCTGAACCAATCACTTTTGTTGACATTGATCAGCTGACTGATTTAAATACATCTTAACATTCATGAGGTACTTTACATTGACTGTTTATGGTTGAGTGTGGGCGTGTAGAGGGTAGAACCTGAGGCAGGACCTCGTGCGCAAATTCTGACGTGCGGCTGTGATTTATAAAGGAAAGATGCGCAGAAACGTGCGTACGTATGGTTTTATAAATCTGATTTTTTTTTGGCGTACGCCATTTCAGCCTTTTGGCCGTACGTTCATTTTTAGTATGGTTTCCACGCAATCCTTTATAAATGAGACCCCTGGCATTTTCCACCTCATCTTCCGTGCTGTTCCATAATCTTATTCCCTGGATTAAAGTGGATCGCTCCTTCAGGCTCGTACAAAACCAGGCTTTCACAAACATTTCAAATCCTTTAAGATAATAAAAAAAAAACTGTTCCGATGATTATTTGTGAAAAGTAACCTGAAGGAAGCTGCAACTGTTTTGCTCTTGCGGCAAAAACACTACCGCCATAAAATAATTTCTAAAGGAGAGACCATGAATCGTTGGCACAATCCCAGCGTGTCGTCCTCCACATCCACCTGAGCGGCTCACCTGCCCGCACTGAGCGCGAGCAGCCTCTGCTCTCCACTGCGCATGCGCCGCCTGCTGAAGGGCTACACTGTCATGGCGCTGACGAGCTGAAGCTATAGGAGTGGATCAGGAAGCAAAAGCAGCGCAGCTGGCTCGACCCGTGCCATTTAACCGCGTCCGACGAGTCCGCCGGGGAGCACCGAGGGGGACCTCCGGCCGCTTTCGTCTTCCACCGGAGTTTGCTGACGGACTTGGCCCGTTCTGTTGGAGAGTTTTATTTCCCTCTTGGTTCTGCCGTGCGCTTCTTACCTGTCAAGTCTACGGTGACACACAGGAGCAACTTCCACTGCTGGACGGAGATATTAAAGTGACTGTGTCCGCAGAATAAAACCAAAGGAGAGGAAAGAGGGGGAAAACTCTGCTTCACACGCGTTTCTCTTCTTGTTTTCTGCAGCTATTTTCTCCACGGGCTTTTAAAGACATTAATTCACCCGCCTGGCTGGTATCAAGTTACAGAGCAGAGTATAGTTCACTCAGCGTGGAGGAGCGGTGACATTTACAGCTTCGCTGTGCGTCAAAAACCAACAAATTCTCCGTCCGCTCTTTATTACCCACTCTTTGAGACCCCCTGTCGCTTAACAACCCTGGATGGGGAGGAAAACGCCCTGCAGACTGCCCACAACTCAGCTGAAGGGGAGATAAAGCCCTGTTCCTCCCCCCCACACCCACCTCCCTGCACTCTTTTCAGCATATTGGAGGTGAACAGGTGCCTTACCTGCCCGGCTCTTCCTTAGCAAATGGCTAACACCGAGCCGGCGGATGGGAAGGACGCACGGGCAGCGGGAGCCGCCGCGCTCAACGCCGGGGTGCCCATCAGGGGCATCCGGATGAAATTCGCCGTGCTGGCCGGCCTGCTGGAAGTTGGGGAAGTTTCCAACCGAGACATTGTTGAGACGGTGTTCAACCTGGTAAGCTGATTATCATGGGAGCTCAGGACACACAGGCCGTAGATTAGAGCGCCGTGACATCTTTAGATGTTTTGCATTTGGAAAACCTTTAACAACAAAATAATAATAATAAAAGAAGTCACTCTGGTTAGTTTGTAGATGAACCACTGCTTTTGTCAGACAGCCCAACCCCCCCTCACTGATTTCTCTGAAAAGTTTGCAGAAAAGCCTGTCAATAGTTAACCTTGTTTTCTCTGAGTTCAGCTCGTTTTTATTTGTTTGAATGCTTGTTCAGTATTGTCCAAGTGTTGTTTTTCATTGTTATTTCCCTTTACGCTTTGTTTTGTAGTATAATTACTTCCACATAGCTACTTTTCTATTTTTGGCCTTCAAATTGAATATTAAAATGTTCAGCTCATTCACTAGATGTGTGCTGTGACTTTTGACTTCAGAAACTTTTATGCATTTCAAAATTTTAACTTTATTTACAAATATTTTCCTTCATAGACATGCATTGAGATCTCTTTAGTTTCTTTTAAAGTTTCTCTTAAAATCTGCTTTAAGATACTCTAGTTTTGATGTCTGTGCCACTAGTTTTAGCTGCAGTTCTGATTCTTTTAGCTTATTTTTGCTCATTTTAGCTTTAAGTTACCATTGTGCTACATTTTAGCCACAGTTGTTCTACAGTGAGCCAACATTCTGCTGCTCTGAGTTTTTCACTAATGTTCTAATACTTGAGTTTAGTTTATGTCCTGCTGCTTGGAGCTTTCGGCTAACATTCTGCTGATTTAAGCTTTTAGCTAATGTTCTGGTTTATTTGATCTTTCAGCTAACCTTTTTGCTAGTAAACTATATTTATATAGCACCTTTCACAGGCACAAACATCACAAAGTGCTAAACAGAGAGCAAAATAACTAAAAACAATAAAGCAGATCACAAATATAAAAAACAACAATTAAAACACAATAAAAAAGCACATTAACTAAAAGCCTGTTGCTTTTAGCAAGTGTTCTGAAGCATTGAACTTTTAGTTTACATTCTTATGCTATGAGCTTTTAGCTTGCCTCTTGATACTTTTGGCCATGGGAATATACATTATATTAAGTTTATTATGTTTGTTTTATTAGTCCATTGTTCTCCATGAATTTTTAGAAAGAAAAAACTAAAAGAACAATTTAGTGAAATTTTTTGAGGACCCCCAAGACACCTCTCGCGGACCCCAGTTTGAGAACCTCTCGGCTAGTTGATACTTCTAGCTTAACTACTGTTTTGCAACTTCTTGCTTTTAGCATTTTTGCTTCTCTTAGCTTTTAGCTCACATTCTGCTTGTTTAATTCTTCAGTTTCTGCTCATTCAGTAAATTACAGCAACTAAGTTTTCATTACTCAGGATTCACGCTATGTTTCATGGAAAATCCAAATTCTTTAGTTTCTTGGGCTATTTTAGTTTAAAAAGATCCTGCAGGATTCTTGTAATTATGAGAAAAAAATAAATGTTCCCAGTTTTGAACTGACTCTGACAGGACCAGTAATGACAAACGCTACGGCAAAGAAGCTGCTGTAGTTTTTTATTTATTTATTTTATTATCATGTTTGACATATCCAGGTCAGGTAAAGTAAGTGCCTTTGTTACCTGTACTGGTAACATCCTGGAGTGTTTTGTCTGAATCAAAGCTACTCTGAATTATGAAATGCCTTTAAAGCACATGCATGAGAATGAATGAATGAATGAAATAAACTACAAGGCAACGTAGCTTTAGAGCACGGAGCATGCTCAACCAGAGTTTCCACTAAGGTGGGAGGAGACGAGGTGAAGGTGAAACCTGCTGAACTGCTTTGTCACTGTGCGGTAAACAATAAAGTCCTTTGGAGCGGTAGTTTCATCCTCCATGTCTGTAGTCATTAATGAACTGCAACCCTCACTGAGTAGGCAAATGAATTACAGACACTTTTTTCCCCTCTTCTTCTGGCTACGACTTGATTAAACTTTAATGCTGTTTTCTCCACTTAAAACCACCACCTTCAAAAAAAAAAAAAAAAAAAATCAGGATTTATGTTTTCCATCATCCCTTTTACACTACATTTAGTTCATAAAACAAATAAAAGCAACTATTTTTGCATGTTTCTAAACCTATAAGTTTAGAAATATTAAAAAATTATGTTTATAATTATTCAATTATTCAATTATGCTATTAGTTGTAGAATTTGTAGGGATCATACTATTTTTAATGAATAATTGCATCATTGCTTCTTTTTTTAGGACTCAGTTTTTTGTTTGGTCGCAGTTATTTCAGGTCACAAGATGATGCTGTGCATTTTATTATGATTACCTCAGCACTTTGTCTCTGCACATGCTCTATTCACCCCTCCATTTGCTGATAACCTCATGTACTACAAATGCCAGAGTTTTCTCTTCGATGGCATCTTTTTTTTAATATTTATTTTTGCTTTTTCCATCCTTCTCACTATATGTGTGGATAAAAAAAACAGTGTTTCTGCAGGAGGGTGATCTGTGTCACAAGTCACCACAGCGGTGGTTGTGATGACTTGTGACGTGGGCTGAGGTTCTAAACACCAGGATTCACATTAGGCTGTTGTTTTATTTCACCTAGAGTCAGGGCTTTGGTGAGGAGCAAAAGGGAGAGAGTCTCACGCCATTTCTTTTGTTTTTTACACTTTTATGTTCCTGATTGTTTAAAGTGGTAGGGAAGAAGGTACTAATGAAAACAGACCTCAAGTAAAAGTAAATTTAAGAGTAAATTTTCAAAAAAAAAAGAGAAGTATTTTCTCATTAGACTTAATTTTTTAAAGAGTTTTTGATATTTCGATGTCAGCAAACTTGTGTGTAGTGTTGTAAACACATGTATTTGTTGTGTTTTGGAAACTTTTTCTTCATGGCTCTTTAAATTGTACTCATCTTGTGGTTGCCACATAGGAAATGACAGAATATTCCACTGTGGGTTTAAAAATGTTGTATTTAGACCCAAACTGTGATGCCTGAGGATGTGTTCTTGCTTAGCTGTAGGGAGGGGAGGCTGGGTGAGGATGAGGTGTGTGTTGCGATTGGCACGTTGTGGGGAGGGTGTTACACCTGCTGGGCACACAGTTTAGCTTGTTGGATCAGACTTTTTCATATGTGGATTAGGGATGTAAGAAAATATCAATACACTGAAATATCGCGATATTTCATTTCCCGATACTGTATCGATATTCTAAAGCCTTGTATCGATTTTTTTTATTAAGGTTTAAAATGTCAACTTTCCTGCTAGCCATTCATTTTTATGTTGTAGTTCAGCCTCTGGCCACTAGTTGGCAGCAGTGAGCCAGCCATTTGGCTACTCTACCTCTTGGGGTAGAGGCTATTAAGTGTTGGGTGACCATATTGTAAATTAATATAAAAAAACAAAAGCTGCAAAAAATATATTTTCAAACTATTTATTGTCAAATTTAGTCTAATAATTGAAAACATGGATGAAATAAGTAGTATTAAACAAATAAAATAAAATACATACAAAGCAGAACACAGCTAAATGTATCAAAAGTATGTCTATGTAATATTAGAATTTTCTGAGACAATGAATTTTGGTTTTTCATTATTTCCCCCCTGTAAGAGGTTTTTATTTAATAGAATTTTTTGGACAAAAAACATCGCAATATATTGCAATGTATCGACTTGCTTATAGTATCGCAATATATCGGGATATGTTGTATCATGACCCCTTTGTCATGATATGTATCGTATCGCCAAATTATTGCCAAAACACAGCCCTAATGTGGATATTATACTATCGTACAAGTATAATTATTATATAACTGGCAACATGGCTCTTGACAAATCACTTGTTTGTTTTAATCATTGTAGGAAAAAAGAATTAAAGATGGCTAAATTGCTCCTGAACAAAAGTCTTTGTTTTGGGGGAAAAATGCACAAAAGAAGAGTGAAACTTTCACTGGATCATCCTTTCTTCAAGTAATGTTATCAAGGCCTTTTTCCACATCTTTGTCCACTCACACAGGTGTTTTCTCTCAGGTTGTTGTTTTCGTTCTCCTCCACCCTCAGGACTCGTCAGAAGCACAGCCGCACCAGCCTTCATCTTCAGTACCGGCTGACTAATTACAAACACCTGCGTGCCACCCTTTTCTCAGTTTCTTTCGTCGGTAAAACAAATATTAAAAATGATTTTCTGCAAAACCAAAAGCAGAGGTGTCCAAACCTGGTCCCAGAGGGCCACCATGCTGCACATTTCAGAGGGTTCTCTGCTTCAACACACCTTATTTTAATGAATGGTTGATTAGATAAAGCATGTAGGGTAAGAGGTCCTCAAAGAACAAGAGTGGACACCCCTTCTCTAAAGTCCACATAAGAATACATAGACCTGGCATCAAATGATTATGGGGTCAAATATTTGGCTCTGTTTAAAACAAGAACTGGGATTGTTTTGCGTGCAATAAAAAGGTGGTAATGTTCTTAAAGTGTTGCGTCATTTTATCTATTTTTGCCCTTGTTAAATTGGGGCCCTCGAATATCTTACACCACACTGGTTCAGATAAAATATGTATGAGAACATCGTATGTAGTAGCACGCTTTAAGGCATGTAGCATCACATAGAGGGTGAGTTGTGTGAATCTATGTGCTTTAAGGTGCCAGCAGTTTTACATGAAACTGCTTTGTAGCTTTTTTTTTGGTTTAACTGAAACAACCTGCTGAAAGTTTTGGATGTTGATTGATTTTTTTTCTGAATAGTTTGGTGGTCTCTGCTGTTACAGATGATGAATGATGTATTCATACTTTAAGTTGATAAGGAGGCAGGTTAAACAGGTTGCACATTTAGCAGTCATTTAGCTGTTGGTTCATGACAGAAGCATGTATTTGATGGTCATGTTTTCTGAGAGGACCAGAAAATAAGGAAGAAAAAAAAAAGAAAATGGCACGGGTTTATATGAAAACAAACCAAGGCCACCTTAAGAGACTTCTAGAAACTCTAATTCTAGTCTGGTTAAGCAGCTGACTAATGCACTGCC